TGGCCTTAAAGTAGGCCCTATTTGGGTACTTTGGGGCCAAAGTATCTACTATTTGGGTACATGGACCCTTAGGGTATTCATCTGCCGCGCACGAAGAAGGACCCTCTGAAGCAACGGTTCCCCCGCATTCGGGCCACCTCTGCAATGATCCGAAGGGTGCAGGCTTGGGGCTGCACACACCAGGGACTAAATCAGAGGATATGATATTCCCTAAAACCCGGAAACCCTAAACCCTAAACCCTAAACCCTAAACCCCAAACCCTAAACCCTAAAACCCTAAACCCTAAACCCTAAACCCTGTTAACGACTCAGACCCCATAATTAGTCGCCTCACCCTCAGGTTCAAGGCGTGGGGGGCTGAGGACGAGTATCATGACGGCGACGCTTTTGATGACGACCGGTGTATTCATTTCATAGGTGCGAAGCCCTCAACCCGTAGACCACTAGACGAAAGGTCTCTATGCTCCCAACATCCCTAAACCCTAAATGGGTGGTTCTCTGAATTAGGGTCCCCTTTTAGGTCCCCAATATAGTACGACACCCTTATAAAAAGGACCCTAAAAAGGACCCTAATTTAGAGAACAAACCAAACCCCTAAAACCGGTCTGCGGATCCTCCACGGACGGACAGCTGACCTGACCTTCGGCGCAGGATGCCGGGCAGAAGCCTCCAGAAAAGAGAGTCGATGGGTAGTTCTTAAATTAGGTTCCCTTTAAGAGCCCTTTCTATATGGGTGCCGTACTATATTGGGGACCTAAAAAGGATCCTAAATTCAGAGAACTACCCATATGCTTGATTTGGCGCTTTAGCTGAAAATAGGGGCTTCAATGATATGAATAGGGTTTTGGCGTTAGTATGTTATTGACCCTTATAAATGGTGCAGTTTGTTTGCTTCTGTCCTTAAGGCAGCTGTGGCATAGTACATGGGTTCGCAGGGTTTTGGGGCAAAGGTTCAAAGTGCAGTGGTTTTTCTTAAACTTAAGGATCGTGTTGAAATATGGGCCGAACGCTAGGCTTCGAGTTCGCCTTTGGCAGGGCTCGGCAATTCCGGACGGAAGTGAAATGGAATGCTTCAAATGGCCAGATACTGCACCTCACAAACTTATCCGGGCATTCGTTTGTATACTTTGCACACGTACAGTGCAGAGTATGTAATTCTATTCTTGCTCTTGTTGCCCATCATCAGGTCATCAACACCAGGATCATCACCATCATGATCGCAGTCAGATCATGGTAGCAACAGCAGTGAACAATATGAACAAGTGCTACGAAATAAACACCAACAAGACAGCTGCAAAGCATGTCTGTTGCCATCTAGCCCCACGAGAAGGACATAGCTACCAGCTGTAAACGCTTACCTCCCAAATCCTAGACTCCTTCATAGAGCGGAGACAGACAATCTACCCACATGCACTGAGCTTTTACACGAGAAGCTCGGGAAAATTGGGCTGGTGTAGCCGGTGTAGCCCCCCTTGATTGATAATTCCCCCTCTTTAGGTAAGGCAAGGAATACAATGGTCAGACCCATCAGAAAAGGGTGTCTATCAAGGTCTTATAATCAGGGGTCTTCTTTCAACACTTTTTCAGAATCTCTCATACATCAGGTATCTCTTACAGAAGAAGCTAAGTGGTCTACATGACAGTGTTCAAGGTTCAAGGCCATCTTAAGGACTTGGTTTGAAGGTTTACGGCTCAAGGTTTTAGGTTCTGTAAAGCCTTATGATGGTGGTCCTTGTGTATGGTGACCCCTTGATGATCCTTACGGTAACCTTGCAGCAGCTCTTTGTGCAGGTTTGCGAGTGGGCCGGGCTTCGACAGTCTCCTGGGGTTTGCACGATATCAAGCCTCCTCCATCATGTGGGTAGTTCTCTAAAGTAGAGTCCCCTTTAAGGGTCCTTTTTGGAAGGGTGCCGTACTATATGGGGGCCGAAAAGGGGACCCTAATTTAGAGAACTACCCATGTGCGGAGTGGACAGAGTTCAGGGTTTAGGGCATATCATTAGGGTGCAGGGCGGGGTTTCGGTTTTTAGTCTGAAGCTTGGGGTTCAGGGTGTCAGGGTAGGCCAAACCTGAAAGCAAGCGGCCTCCCGTGAGCGGCAGGCACTCTCGCCAACTGTAGCCCCACTCCTCATTCTGTCCGTTTTCAGCGAAGGGTTTTTCTGGCTTGGTGATCTCTTCGGAATCAATGATTTATTGTTCACTAATGTTTTTAATTAAAGACAGACTCTTCGAAGTCGATAATGTTCATTGATGAGCTCATGATCCGGAGAGAATGTGATATGATACCCATTCGTGTTGTGCTCCCAGGTCTGACACCTCCGAGTAGGTCGAAGGTCCTACCATATGTCTCGTGCGGCTAATGAGCATGTTAAGAACTGTTCATTTTAGGGCTTAGGGTTTTAAGGTTTAGGGGCACTCATCAATCAGATCTAATGTCTAATGATACTTATGCAGACCTTCACAAGACAAACTCTGCGAAACCTCTAAGCTATACAGCCAGGCTACAGAATGTATAAACCCACAACCCCTACGGTTAACCCATCACAACCCTACAAGCAGAAACACATACTAAACCCGTCCAACAACTCCTGTACGCGCCATAAGCAACCACATAAAACACCAAGCTTTACCCCTACTCGGCCTTTACAAAGTCAGGGCTGCTTCTACAATCCTAATCCCTAATCCTTTTATGAGCCCCCATTCCTAAACCCTAAATCTTAAACCCCCCCAACCCCTAAGCCAAAAGTTCCAGACCTTCCACCATAATCCCTACATTTTAATCCTTAGCAATCCCTAATCCCTAGCATCCCTAAAATCCCCAAACCGTAAACCCTGAACTCTAAACCCTAAACCCTATCTAAACCCTAAGCCCTAAACCCTATCTAATCCCCAAAATCCCTAAACCCTATCTAAACCTCAAGCCCTAAACCCTATCTACTCCCCAAAACCCCTAAACCTGATGAACCGAGGGGCGTTGAAGTCGCAAGCAAAGGAGTTCTGGCCAGTGCAGCTGCACTGCGTCCCTTTCGCAACCTCATAGGTTCTTTACAGGGGCTTTATAGGGTTCTATAGGGCTTTATAGGGTTCTATAGGGTTTTATAGGGTTTTATAGGGTTCTATAGGGTTCTATAGGGCTTTATAGGGTTCTATAGGGTTTTATAGGCTTCTTTAGGGCCTGTTTTGTCAAGGGGAGATCGAGTTGCGCTTCTCTATACCGGAGCGGCATGCAGGTCTAGACGCCAGATGACGGGATCCCGTTTGGGTAGTTTTCTAAATTAGGGTCCCTTTTGGGGTCCTGTTTATAGGGGTGCCGTACTATATTGGGGACCTAAAAAGGGACCCTAAAATAGAGAA